AGTAGCAAAAACATTATTAACATTTACATGAATAATTACAGTTCCTTCCACTGTTCCTTCCTTACAGTATTCATAAAGCACAGTAATTCTTGATGCACAGGCATAACTAGCTCTAAATAACAATTCACCTTTTCAAAATGTTACCAAACTACCCGAAAGCAGCAGCATTCAAGAGCATAGAACAGAACTGGATATCCCACTGAGTATCGCTAAATCCCTCCCCCCCCCCCCCCCCCCCCCCCCCAAAAAAAAAAAAAGCACAAATGTCAAAAGCAATTTAGAATAAATGATACAAATTTAAAACAATACAACATCTATTTAATGACCATTCTCACTGTGTTTCAGGATGGTTAAAGAACATGACTATCAGCAACAATTTATTTGAACTTGATTGTTGAAGAACCCATTCTTACCACTTTTACACAGGAATGCAGGGAGGATCACTAGGCACACTAACTGCTAACAGACATCTCAGGAACACTGCAGACTGCTTTTCAGTGACATTATGGACAGTCATGTAATAAAGATGTCACTACACAGCATGGAATTTCTGGCCAATAGTTCAGCTCATCTTAAACTATTAGATATTTTCTGTATTTGTCTTTCCCTGATTTGTCACATGCATACTCCACTGAGTGTTTTTAACTCAACCCACAAGAAACTGGTCACATAACTCAGAGGGACTCTAAGGGCTTTCTGTTGTGTCATGGCCTGGGCTGCTAGAAATCAGCGTTAAGCACTGAGCTGCAAAATACAGAAGCTGAACATTAAACACATTCAGTTCTCCAACTTAGATTTGCACTACTTATTAAATATGAAAATAAATACCCCTGCTGGAAGCAGCAGTCATTCTGCTGCAAACCCTGTACCCACAGATGGCCACTCCAGCTTGCACAGCTGACTCAACACCCAAAGAGCTGAGATGCTCTGAGAGCATCACTTCCAACAGGGAACAGTAACAATTAAGGCATTCCCTTTGCCATAACAGCAGCAATGCGTCATACAATATAGAAACCCAATCAGAAAATTTATAATGCTTCTGTACTTAGTTCCATTTGATGCTAAAAATGATTTACCACAGGTTTTCACCAGTGTGCTTATAATACAAACTATTTTTGGTTATATTTCTGTGCATTCTTATTCTTTCAAAAGAAAATTCAAACTACTTTACCTGTTGCTCAACCTGTGATCTAGTACATGCATTACAAACCCAGTGTTTTACTTCTTTCAACACCATTAACCAATGTAATCCCCAACACCTACGTTACCTAGGATTACACAACTTGGGTTCCCAATGAGAAGTCCACTATTTGAGTATGTTCTACATTTCCCAACCATCCCATTTGAAGATTTAGATAGGTACTGACAACTTTGTCTTCTGCATAGAACTGTAGAACCTTAAAGAGGTGTTAAACCTGCAGATAAGCAAAGCTTGTAGGGACTGCAAATGAGCTGGAAGACAAAGCAGGAATTCAAATAAACCTCAGAGACAAAAATGCAGATGAAAAGCATACGATGTTTATTCAGTAGGAGCAAAGACAAGGTTTTGCACCTAAGCAGAAATAATTGGCTACACAAGCTAGGATGAGGATCAGGTACTTAGTACTTGTACTGAAAGCAATTGAGCTTAGTTATGCATCAATGATGAACAAGAGTCAATAACTTTACCATGCTGTGAAAAGCCGAGTACTCTCCTTACAAAGCTGAAATCTTCTACTATAGAACTGAAAACTTTTGACTAGAGCACACTGCCCAACTTTTAGCTTTGATCTCCAAAAAAAAAAAAAAAAAACAACATAGATCAACTATCAAAAATAAAGTACAGGCAATGAAGCTGTCAAGGCCTACTTCCTACTAACTGCAACAAGTATTTGGAACTGTTTAGATCAGATAGGAAATACCAATAGTAGTTTATAAACATTCTGTAAAATAACATAAACCAAGTTTCTGAAATATGCATAAAAAGCCTTCCATAAAACAAATGACCGTGTATGCGCATCTGTGATGGTCAGGAAAACTACACTAATAAATATTCAATTTACCTCCCCAAGGAAATTGAATGAAAACCTACTTCAGCTCATCCCTTTCCACCTACAGGTGAATATCAACACAAAGTCTTTAAAGCAATGTAAAAAAAAAAAAAAAAGTACCTGGTATGAATAAAGAATGTGTAAATGTTGTGACACCACCTAGAAAAGCATTTCAGCTGTCTCATGATGTGGTCATTCTAAAGCAGATTACCTTCCTCAGAGAAACAGCACAACTGTCACAGCCTAACAGAAAGCGTAAATTGGCATTTAGCTTAATTATAAACCCAATGTATATGGAAATATAATTCAATAGTCAGGCACTAACAGCCTGCAGCACCTATATTTCTTACACAGGTACTTATAAATGCACCTATATCACCATTTGCAATCTAATCTTCCTCGCCATCTGAATTCTTCTCCTTGATCTAAACATACCTATCATCTCCTTTAAAGAATTATCTTAGGCAGCTACCAACACTTATACAGTATTTTCCAGGTTGTGTCTTACAAATTAAATTTCTGATGGGAGTTCATAAGTGCAAAAGAAGCGGTGCTTGCTCATCCATCAATGCACTGGCTTAAAGAAAAGTTCTATTACGTAGTGCAGCTTAAAGTTCTACAAGGCTTTTATAAATGCAGAATAAAGTCCTTTTGAAAAAATAAGTTTCTTTTTTTGCTGCTCTGTGTTCTATAGTATCAGTTCTCATTATACCTACTGACCAAAAAAACATGAACCCAAATAAACTAAATAATTACTGGGAAAGCTGCTAGACAGATGAGACTTCAGGACATACTCTCTCTCTTCTCAATACATGTGCTTAATTCCTCTCAGTACTAAAGGGTATTATTTGCATGATTCAGAACAGACAAAATGCCTTTCAACTTTACTGTAATATGCAGGTTCTATTTCAAAAAATGAATGGGTGTTAAATGGAAGAGTGTTGTACACAGTACTTAAGATTACCTAACAATTCAAATAACATGACCACACCATGACCCAGGGTTTTGAAGTGTTGCTGAAGGCTAAGTAGCTGTTGCTTTATATCCATCAGATACCATTTGTAAGGCCGTGAATGTACTTGCTTCTACTCACTTTCTGTTGAGTCTGGCTACAACTGATTTATTTTTTTTAATTCCCTGTCAGACATGAACCATGTTCTCCTGAACCAGCCCTCACCACAAGTACTCAGAAATAATGACACCAGTAACATTTTGGTATTGTAAACTGCCTAAGTCATGGTGTGAGATGTAAGCAGGCTTCCCATTTTGCTTTTAAAAGAAGGATGCTTCAATTGGACACAGTATTGCTACATTACTCACTCTGATCGTCCACCAATTTCATATACCCTTAGAACGAGCATCTTAAACTTTATGTTACTTTTCATCTTCAGTAGATCTGAGGCTTAACTCATGCTTGTTCACTGTTTTAGAGTAACAGTAGAGAGCAATATAAAAATGCCAACCATTTTTTTATGTCACATATCTAGTGCACGAAAGATTAAACAACAGACTGAGGCAATTCTAAATACAATGCAAAACCACCTACAGCACCAGGAAGAAATAAATAAGAAACAATACTGAGAAAGGCAGAATAGCTGCTGTGTTTGAGGACCTCACGCGTTTTGGCTCCAGCACAGGAGGACTGAACCGAACAAAGCATTTGACCTGTAGTTCCAGTCTCCTGACACATTCCTGAGTATTTTTAAGCCCTTGGCACTCCCCTGCTGGCCAACAGAAGCGTCTTGGAGATAATCTGAAATTTTTTTCGCGTATACCCAAGCAGTCAGAGCAACAACGGCCACTGTTTGAGAGTGAATCCACTCAAGAGACCAACAAACTTGTTCAGGAAACCATTTAAAGCAAAAAAAGACCCCACACCCTTCCTCACATCTTTCTACATACATATATAATAAGTATATGGCACACTTCTGAGATAATAACCTGGTCCAAGAATAAGTTAAGTTCCAGGAAACATGAAGTCCCGGATAAAACTGCTACAGAGCTCAATGTCACATGCTTTCAAGAGGAAAAGACACAGCAAAGTAGAAGTGTTTTCTGAGCCATGGTTAAGATATTCCACCGTCACCTCAAGAGAAAAGTTGTTACTCAGCTTTGCATCCCACCTGCACACAGTCAAACAATAACACTGAGGGAATCCAAGAACTCTCAGGTAACTTTAAAAAGAATACTGTTTCTCCAACACAAGACGAGGATTCGTGACAGAAGGCATGAGATAAAAGATACAAACTTCTCTCCCAAGAAGAACACTTGTTGCAAAGCACAGACAAAGCATAACAGCTCTACAAAAGAAACATGATTACTGAAGAGAACACTTGATGTAGCGCAGCTTTCCAGCAAGCGCTGCCACCTCCCACCACCTCCCCTTCCCCCAGTGCGGAACATTCTGGATGCTGACCCCGCCTGAGCAGCAGGAAAAAAGCCCCCACCTCGTACACAGCTGCTCACCCACCTTTCCTCAGCAAGAAAGGAAATAAGCTCAGAAAAAGATAAAAAAAAAAAAAGAAAAAAAGCGGGGTGAAATGAGAACTCAGAGCTTCCTCAGAATTTACCTTCGTAGGCAAAGTAAATTCCGCCCCTCCCTTTTCGACATCCCAGCCTCAGCTCCGCGCAGAGCTCCGAGCTGGCTCAGCACGCGGCCGTACCTCTCCTCCGCTCCGCCCTCGTCACGGCCGTCCGCTGCAGCCACGCGCCCCTGTCTCGCGCCGCAGCTCCCCCGTGATACCCGCCCTCAGAGCACGAGACCCCTCCTCAGGCACAGCCCCGCTTCCTACTGCTACAACTCACAGCACCTGCACTGCTTTCTGTTACCTCAGGGCTCCAACCTCGTGCTTTTCTCCTCAACCTCTATTTAAGGCATTTAGCCCCGAGGCAGGATTGCACCGATGTACCGCACCTGGGGCTGATAGGCCCCGTGGAACCAGCTCCGAGCTGGCTAGGGTGCTGATCTCAGCTTGTCCTCACATCAGTTGCTGCGTTTGCTCTCATAGCGCACGTGCACCCGGGCACGACACGCAGGCCGGGGGAGTACACTGCCACCGGACAGCCATTTTAACAGAGAACCTTGTTGGATGGGATAGCCTGAAGCCCTTCAGCAGGCAACGGCTGGTGAGAGAGGTGAGTTTTAACTTTCCAATGAGGATCTAGATGTGATCCTGTTGGTACTTTGGAACCACAGGTGGTGAGGATGAAAAAGGAGCTGTGAATATTGATGTACCGTTTAGCAAGCAAGGAGGATGGGTGAGAAAGGTCCGCGCCTTTCTGGAACGCAGTCTCACTGCATTTCTGCTCAGAAAATTCAATGCCCCTCTGAAGCTGAACCAAACCAGCAATTAGTTGTCAAGGCGTAGCTAAAAAGGCAAAGTAAAGCCTGTAGATTTAATCAGCATTTCCATGGTAGCTGAAATTATGCTGCTTAATGGCTGGAATGGGTTGCAATGAAAATGAGTAGACTGTATATCCCCAAAAATTGATTCCTGGAAGAGCATTCAGAGTTGCTTCAGGAAATAACATTAAAAAATATTAGACCATGGGTCTCTCAGCTGCCTTGAAGCGTGGGCATCAAATCTTAATCTCTTTAGTAGAATGCTAAATTTAGCTATATATTTAACTAGAAAAAATAAAATAAAATAGGGATGTTCTGTTGGGAATAAACCTGCCAAACAGCCTGGCTTTTTCTGGGTGGAAAAAAAAATTAAAAAAAAAAAAAAAGAAATCTTGTTTTCATTTTACAGTTGCAGATGATATTGTGCTGCCATCAAGCCAATGTATGTGAAAAAGGTAAAAAAAATAAATTTGAAAACAATGTGTTCTGCTTTGTTACAAAAAGGAATTGAAATGTTGACGGGGTGCTCTGCTGAATACTGGAAGTTTAGGCATGATGTTAAAGCTGGACTGCTGCCATTCTTCCACATACCACAGATAAACATCGGGTATAGAGCACCTAATAAACGTTCAGAAGATAAACTGTGAAACAAGAATGCTGTGTCTCGGTTGCTGGCAGCCCAAACCTCTAAGCTTGCTCTTGTTTCTGAGAAGTTTGGCCTCTGCCATCCGTCGTGTAAATCATCCCCTCCATTTGAAAATTGTCCACGCTATTTATGAGAGCATAGTTTATCTTATCATGTGGGGCAATGAAATAAATGCAGCTCTGGGCGTTAGATTTTTAGGGAATAAAGTTTTAATGACCAACTGAATGCTTTTTATGGTTTATGCAGGAATCACTTTCTGCAGCAATGAATGATGCCATAAACTCATGAAGCATAAGCAGTATCAGAGCAAGACTGCAGTGGATGAAACCATAGTACGAGGTGAGATACTTTTTTCATTAAACTGAAGATGGAAAACACAATGCATTTTTGACACTTCTCTTCAAGAAACATGAAAATTTTGCAAAGCATGATTTGTTATTCACGATGCTGAGAATCATTTTTAAAGGCCTATGATAGAGAAGTGTCTGTCATTCTGAAAGCTGAACCACAAGGAAGAGCCAGTTTGCATTTTGCCACTGTTTCCATTATTGAAACAAAACAAAAACATTAAAAAAAGGACAAGAGTGATAACAATACTGCAGATATCAGGATTTTTAGTTAGCGGTCTGCCTTTAACACCTCTCATTATTTCACTTGATGTACATATGGCTTTCTCAATACTTTGCCCAAGTATCTTGCACTACTGCGATGCATTCTATATGATTTACCATATGTTTGTAAATATTATGTCAATAACCACTACATCTTGGCTCAAAAAAGGGAGATTTGCAGATAGAAGCTGTCAAATATCTCTGTAATGGACAACATTATATGTATATGCTCTATACAATTAATTTTAAGTAAACATTATTATTGTGAAAGGAATTGAAGTTGTTTGTAAAGTGACATATAGAGGTATTGAATCATCTAACCACAATTTTACAAGTCAGTAAATGTAGCATGGATAGGAAAATAATTTACTAGTACTAATGCATATGTAGTCAGTTATCTCTTTCATCCCAAGAGAATGTTTTGAGACTTACACAAGTAATATGACAATTACAATATCAAAGTAGTAAAAATGTGGGGGAAGGAAGGAAGGAAGGAAGGAAGGAAGGAAGGAAGGAAGGAAGGAAGGAAGGAAGGAAAGAAATGTCAAGTCTAAGGGCTACCATGACAAAACTGCACAAAGTAGTGGGAACATCTCCCCATCTGGAGAATTGGTCTTAAAAGAATGCTTGTTGAAAGACTTGGGCTCAAGTGCTGAGGTCTTAGCAAGTTTTAGGAGAAATCTTTCTTATCAAATTTTCAATTTTACGTCAAAAATATCAAATGTATTTTTGTTAGCAGCCTGAAGTTTATGTTTTGCATGTTCCTCACAACTGAAAGGATTGACCAGAAACACAATGAATCTTGGTATTAAGACTGAAAAACACAAGTCAACCCCATCAGTTTGGTGGTTGCTTCAGCCAGTGTTTAATTAGCTTCAACTAAAAAAGATAACTAAATCTGATACATGCTGTTGATGATTTGTTTTTATCTTTGACTTACTGGTTCAAGTTCTTCCCCCTTTCCATTTGCCCTCAGAATTCTCTAATCGTGTAGGATTTTTGCTTTCATATCTGTTTAGAGGGCTTCTTTCTCTAGAAGGCTTTTGCTCTTTCAGCCTGCACAACACCACAGCAATTCTCCTCCGTGCAGCACATTATTTTTTCTCATTCTGTGTTCTGTGGCAGCCATTAACTGTGCGTTGAGAGATTTCCCAGAAAGGAGGTCCTGAATTACTAATGCACATGTAGACACTCAGAAAATGTGCTCTATGAATCTCAAATAGCATCTAATCTGACATTATGGCCTATTCAGCATGCAGTTAGCCTTGGGTAACAATCACAGTCCACGGTCATGTTGTGATAAGAATTGTACAATTGCTTTGCTGGATTCCAAGCTCTTGTTCCAGCCTAACACTTAAGAACGTACAATCGCTGTGTTGGAAATTTCTCAACAATTATGAATCCTTTTAAAATAAACTAATGTTTGTTAAAGGAACAAGGTTCTTTTTGATTGTATGTCTCTGATCATCGTAACAGAATTATTTTAACTGCCTTTCTCTAAGACTGAAATGCAAGAAGCATTTAATTGCCTTTCACCAAACATCAGCCCCCATCTTGAGGATCCTTACAAGGGGATTCACGCCACAGACATTTATGGAAACTGGTTTCAACACTCACTGTTAACCAGTGTTAAAAAGACAAATAAATAAATGATAGCCATTTTGAGAGCAATACAAAACAACAGATATTTTAGGTTAAATTACTCAGTGCTACCTTTTATTTCCTTATGTGTTCTATGGAAACTTTTGCAACGTTTCAGCTGAGATTCTGAAAGAGGGGCACTGGCTTTGCTTCTACTTTTCAATTCCACTTGAAGTCTGCAAAATGCATGGATGCCTGCACCGCACAGGCACACCTAAGAAACTGTTTGGATGTGGATTTTGTTGCCTATACGTACTGAACTCCGCGGGTGATTGTTCCAAATTCACGAAGATTAAAAAAGAAAATGGAAAGCAAAAGGAAAAAAAAAAAATAAAGAAAATAGAGAATTAGTACATTAATTAGAGTCTCTATAATATAGCATCACTTTTTTTTTTCCTCTCTAATTTAGCAATTACAGGAATCATCACACCCCAAACTGACTCTTCTGAGCATCAGACTTCTCATTGTTTGGAGTGGTTTGACATTAAAATACATTCATTGACTTGCTGCAGAGCTGAGACACCACGCACGATTCCCCATGTATCTTTGTTTAGTGGCTCTGCACAACAGATGGAATTTTATGTCATGCGGCATTAGGCTACTGTTAAATTTTAATTTCAATTAATGGTCTTTATACTCTTTCTTTATGCACACCAGGGATATTTTAGGCATCCATTTCCCTTCTAATTAGCTTTTATTGCTGAATTCATTCTGAATCTCTGGAAGTCATTAGATTCTCAAACATTCACAGATGAATTTACTTACTTTCTAATAAAATTAATTAGTCCCTGACAAAAAATGGCTAAATTTGGTCTACCTTTTTACATATAGGTAAATATAGAATGTTTCAGATGCATAGAAGCAGTAGAAAATATCTTCTTATTTATTTTTCTTCCTCCAGTATTGACTATCATAGTTATTATTAGCATCACTATCCTTTGGATTGATCCGCTGCCTACTTGGGTTAAAATATAACTCCATTCAAGTGCTTTGTCTCCTAGATTATAGCACAGTAACTGTTACTCACTAATCTCTCTTTAAAAAAAAAAAAACAAAACAAAACACAATTGTTCTATTTCCTTGGAATATGTAAAATTACACAGAACCTTCGAGCCTAACACACTGATCATTTCCACAGAGACAACTTGAGAAACCACGATTATGTAGGCTGATAAATCATAGTAGATATATAAAAAAAAAAAAAAAAAAAAAAAAAAAAAAAAAAAAAAAAAAAAAAATCATTAGTCTGTTTGGAAGACAAAACAAGCAATATAATGCAAGGAAGAAAAGTTAAAACCTACTTTTTTTTTTTTTTAATTTATTTTTCCAGTGATTTAGTAGAAGAAGGGTCAAGCAATTTCAAACTTCTGGGGCAAAAGAATGTGTTGCAGTGCACACTACTGTGACTGCTTTTTATATTTTTTAACATCTGGATAGTTGCTTATAAAAGCCCTGTGGTTGCTTTATGGCACAGCAGCATTAAGGTCTAATTTATCATTGTGCTATAAAGATGAAAATTGAAGAATATGCCCTCGGGGAAGAGGTAATGAAAGACTTCTTGTATGGATTACAGAAGAATATTTATGACACCAGCTAAGAATCTGCGACAACTTTTGTGGTATCTTCCCATTTTAAGTTAAGTATGATTATATGGATCTGGCATGAGATTAATAATTGGTAAGATATCACAATATTTGTAAGATTCAATTGCACATTGCATATAGTTTATTTTTACTTTGAACGTAATTTGAAGCTCTTAAAAAATAAAAAGCTCTGCTTTTAAAAACTGATTATTAACATGCTAAAGTGCTTCTATTTATGTTTCTTAATAAATGAAAAGGTGTATTCATATTCGAGGTACCAGGTATCCCTGGCATTATTAATTTGATCTGAATCTGGCATTTCCAAGGACCCAGCTACTCAGAGGAAATGCACCTTCCTCACAGATGAGACATTACAGCACATGCAGCAACAGCCTCTGAGCTTGAGCAAATGGACACACATTGATCTAAGTACAAGTTAGAAATGGCAATACAAAGTAAATTATGTGGCTGGACACATATGTATGGAGGTAAAAGCGGTAGTATAATTAACTCCAAGTTTCCTGCTCAGCAGAAGAGGAAGAGCAGAAGTTTTGACAAGAGAAGGACCTTTGAATATTGCATACATATTTAACATTTCTCTGGTTTAGTCTTGTGTTAGTAGTTAAATCTTTTTCTCCTTTTAAATTGCTTAAAAGTCTTTTTTTTTTTTCTTTCCTGATTTCTCTTTTTTTTTTTTTTTTTTTTTTTTTAATTTTTTTTTTTTTTTAATTAGAGCTAACATGATAGACCTGAGAGCAGAAGAGCCTGACCTCATTCAGCCAGTTGCCCTTAGGCTCTTCCCGCTTGGCTGCTGCCTGCCCCTGCAGTGCTTAAACCCCTTTCTCCTGCAGCAGGACAGGTGGCCATCAATAAAACCTGGTGTTTGTGTGTGCTCTTGGAAGTGAGTCTGGAAAAAATGTATAAATCAAAAACATGTGTCCATTTATCATGTACATTCTAAAGAAATGTTTTACTTAATGTCATATGAAAAAGACAAACCTTCTGGAGGTGGTTAATTGTTCAGGGATGCTTAGGTACGTTTAGGCAGACCAAATATTTTTCTCCATCAGACCATACTCCAGCATTCTCTCCAAGAGGCTCAAAACTCTTAACTCTTTACAGACTCAAATATGAAACAGACAGGGTGAATGGCCTATCTTGTGCATGCATCTCAGCAGTTACTGATTACTTCAGAAGGAGGGGAGAAAACAGATATAAGAGGGCACTATGAGGTGGCCAGACCAAGTAACCACATACATTATTAACCAATTCAAACCAGCCACCAAAGTAACTACTTAAATGAGTATGAATCAATTTCTCCTGCTATGAATAAATAAATATATGTATATATATTTAAGTCCCTTCGAGATCATGTATTCTGGAGTATTTCCCATACTCCATCTTTTTCAAGCAGAAAAACTTCCATTATATGAGTGAAAAATTCTTTAATCATTATGTGGTAAGTGGGGAACCTAAAGCGCTTGTCTAATCAAAGTCTTCCATCAATTAGGGGCAAATTCAGCTTAGATAAATAATGAAGAAAAATTGTAAAGGATCTTACAATTCACTTGATCACATGTGATGTATTTTTTCTAATTACTAATACTGTAACTCAGTATAAAACTCAGTACAGAAGTAACTTTAGATCACTCAAGGAAATTAAATGGCCAAATCTGCTTTTCCTTTCTTGAAAAACCAGTGGAAGAAAAAGGAAGAATAATTTCAAATGGTATTTTCTTAAGTTTGTTCATTATCATTTCCAGGCGGTGCTTTGTCACAAGATTAAAACAAAATTAAATTTATTTATAGAAAATGCTTAAAAATGCATGGTCATGGAGCATGGCACAACCTCATTTTATGTTATTCAGGCTCATAAGATGTGAAATAAAATGATATTTTCCACCAATTCAACCTTCCGAAAAAGGAAATGCTGACTAAAACAAAAGATTCATGCTAAACAGATGATTAGAATAAAAGGATCATCTGAAATATGGATGCTAATTGAAAAGCTTTCATTTTCTTTTTCCTAAAAAGCTATTATGTGCTTTCATCTAGAGTTTTTCTTTTCGTAGGTTTGGGTTTGTTGTTTTTTTTTTTTTTGCATAAATAAGTTTAAACAATGGTTATACAGATTTATTTATGAATTTGTTAGAGTAGAATTTTAAATAGCCTTCAGAATTCAAGATGGTCAACAAAGAAATAATAAAAATCAGCCACCTGCTCCCATTAAAATACCTCATTTCTCCTCTGCTTTATGTAGCCATTTTTCCTGTGAGCATGTTTCACATGGAAATATTTGAGTTCCAGCCTATTTCCTTTTAGTTTTTCAAAACTCTTTAGTTTCTCACAACCTTCACTTAATCCGTATTCAAACATAAATTTCCAAGAAGGTTAAAGATTTTTAAGACTATTGAAGTTGTTTTTCTTTTTTCTTTTTTCTTTTTTTTTATTTTCAAAAAGTTGTACATTCAAGCTCTACATGAAAATGTTGCTTTCAAGCATTGATTGAATTGTTCGCTTAAATTTTCGTGCCTTTGAAACTCTCAAAGCTGCTTCTGCTGCTAGTGGCCTACAAAGTCATTTCTCCACAGAAACCGATGAGCTGTGTGTCGCTGGTATCCTTTCATGCCTTTTTTTTTTTTTCCTTCTACAGCTTTTGTTAGGGATTGTTTTATTGTGTCAGTGACTAACAGGCCTCCTTGGATTGTGATCTTTTATTGCCTATTCCTGCCAGCTGCAAAAATACTGGCTTCCTTTTTTAATCATAAAATGAATTGTTGCAGAAATAGGGAATGCTACAGTTTCCTCTACATAACATTCTCCAATCAGAAAATTATAATTTCTCAGATGCATTAGCACAATATACTAGGAAACAGCTGCATAATTTAACTTAATTGTTAAGCAATACCTCATTATAGCTAGACAGTAAATTCAGCAGTTTGCAGGTTTTTTTGTGTGCCTCTCCATTTTTCTGTGCTTGCATTTATGTGCTCTTTTCATCTGTCTTTCTCCTCCCAAAGGTTCTCAAAAAAAAAAAAAAGAAAAAAAGTTTCAACAAAAGTGAACTTAACCTTCATTAAGAACCAGCTTAAATTCTCAGTAGATGCCCAAGATATAATCTTGTAGGAAAACAGGCCCTTCTAGACATCCCTGGAAAGTCTGGTTGCAGATACCTCCTTCTTAAACAAGATCAAAGAAGAAATCTCCAAAACCCAAGATCAAGCAAATATTCAGATTTGAAATATGTTTTAATCTCTAAAGGCCTGTGATAGCAATAAGTATTGCTCAGCAGGGTTTAGGTGGGGCACTGCAAGAGGAATGCAATTCAATGGTATCATAGAGTAGAGCCATACAATAGCTTGGATTGGAAGGGACCCCAAGGAACATCACCAAGATCCAACCCCGCTGGTGGCAGGGCCACCAACCTCAGTTCTGGTACTGACCAGGCTGCCCAGGGCTCCATCCAACCTGGTCTTGAACACTCCACAACCTCTCTGGACAGCCTGTTCCAGCACCTCACCATGCTCACTGTGAAGAACTTCCCCCTGATATCCAATCTAAACCTTCCCTCCTTGAGCTTAAAACCATTGCCACCTGTTGTATCGCTGCCTATCCGAGTAAAAAGTTGACTCCCTTCCTTTTGAAAACTGGAAGGCTCCAATGAGGTCTCTTTGCAGTCTTCTATTCTCCAGGTTGAACAAACACAGCTCCTCCACCCTGTCTTTGTAGCTTTGATGCTCCAGGCCTTCGATGTATTCGTGGCGCTCCTCTGGATGCTCTCCAACAGCTCCATATCTTTCCTGCATTGAGGACCTCAGACCTGGACACGGTACTCCAGATGGGTCCACAGGAGGGCAGTGTAGAAAGGGAAAATCACCTCCCTGTTCCTGCTGGCCAGTCTTCTGTTGGAACCCAGGATACTGTTGGCCTTCCAAGCTGCAAGAGGACACTGCTGGCTCATGTTCTGTTTTTAATCTGCCGGAACTCCTTCTCAGAAGGGTTACTCTCAAGGAGTTCTTCTCCCAGTCTTTATACATATCTGGGATTACTCTGACACAAGTGCAAAACCTTGCACTTTGCTATGATGAGCCTCATCAGATTCACATAGACCCACTTTTTGAGCTTGTCGTGATCCCCCTGCTTGGCATCCCCTCCCTCTAACATGTCAGTCGTATCACTCCACTTGGTGTCACTGGCAAACTTGCCGAGGGTGCACTCGAGCCATCAATGATGTTGATGAAGATGTTGAGGAGCACCGGTCCCGATGCAGACCCCTGGGGTTTAGCAGCTAACATACACTTTAGAAGTTCAGAACAGTATGAGAAGAGAAACCACTTGCATTCACTAGTAGCTCATCTTCATGTAAGAGAAAATATAATCATTTGCACAAACTAAACTGGACAATATTGACAGGCTAACACCATCTCTTCTCTGGAAATTTGGTGGATCTTGTATTTCTCTGCCATTCTTCAACATTTCTCAAGTTTTCATCCCCAAACAATTTATTTTGTCTTAAATCAGTACTTTATGAATCAAATTGAATTTGTTATGCATTTATATTTGAATCCAGTAGGTACTCAGCTGTTTGTGTTATATGCTCATATATATCCATGCGCCGATTTCTAACTGCTGTGCAAGCCCTGTGTCCAAGTGTGGAGCCCGCAGTACAAAAAAGACAGGGAGCTGTTGGAGAGGGTCTAGAGGAGGTCCACATCAGGGGACTGGAACACCTCCCCTATGAGGACAGGCTGAGGGAGCTGGGCTTGTCCAGCCTGGAGAAAAGAAGGCTGCAGGGTAACCTCATTGCAGCCTTTCAGTACCTAAAGGGAGCCTACAGAGGGGTGAGGAATCAACTCTATGAAAGGGTTGATATGGACAAGGGGAAATGGCTTTAAGTTGAGGGAGAGGAGATTTAGGTCGGACATCAGGGGGAAATTCTTTACCCAGAGAGTGGTGAGGTACTGGAACAGGCTGCCCAGAGAGGCTGTGGATGCCCCATCCTTGGAGGTGTTCAAGGCCAGGTTGGATGGGGCCCTGGGCAGCCTGGTTTAGCGTTAAACGTGGAGATTGGTGGCCCTGCATGTGGCAGCAGGGTTGGACATTCATGATCCTTAAGATCCCTTCCAACCTTGGCACTCTGTGATTCTATGAATTCACTAGCTTCTCTTGGTCGAAGGAAGAAAAAATCAACTCCATTCCTATTTTAGATATAATTTTCGTAGTCATGTTTCAACTAACTGTTCCAAGCATGCATCACCTTTATTGCTAACATTGCTTAAAAATGTGTTTAGGTTTCTCTAAAATATTTGTATTGTATCATAAAATAAAAATACAAAAAACATACTGGAACTGCTAGTAATTTACAGATTGTTATCAGGACATTTTGCTGCTGCTGGTTCCCCCCTGGACCAGAACTTTCCTACTGTTCTAGATGTGTATCCAGACTGATGGTGCTATGACAACTAGGAATAGCACACTGTGCTATGGTTTTAGCTTTTGTTCATTTTTCTCCTGTACTCTTAATCAAGGGTTTGTATAGTATCTAGGAGAAGGAAAAAAAAATTACCAGAATTGTGATTCTCACCCTTTAGTTTCTCCGACTGTTGAAAAGAAGGAAAATGGATAGACAGCATCTCCCTTTGAAAGTCTGCTTTGAGTAGGAGATGGATAGGTAGAATCTCCATTTGAAAGCCTATACTTTAAGTCATGCACAAAGGATACAGAGCTTAGTTTTGGTTAGTCCAGAACAGTAAAAATTAAGAAAAACTGTTAGCATTCCCCTCTGTAAGTTAGGGTTGTTATAGAGATGTACTCAAGAGAGAGCAGGAAAACTTCAGTGACCTTTTTTCTTGCTGGTTGTATGTAGTATGAACAATCACTAACTAAAAATGTTCTGTAACACTAGTCAAAGATGAGAAAAAAAGTTCAAAGCTTGGGCCCCTGTAAGAAGATTTTGGACTTTTGTTCTTTCATTCTTGCACTATTTGGTATCTTTTGTTTGAGGAGATTAGAATAAAATCACATACAAGAAACCACAACACTAGGAATC